AAAAAACTAAAAATGCATCTGATCAAAAGAGGATTGTACCTAAAATCTAGTGTCTGTACCTAATGTACCTTTAAGTCATCAAACGTCGGAAAAAGGTACAATTGTACCTACTTTTTCAACCCTGGACTAGGTGGGTAATTTTTTAAGTTAGAAGGACGAAGTTTGAGGATGTTATCGAGTTTATATAAGTCCTTAACATAAAATTTTTTCAAAAACAAATATTGCGAAGTAGCAAAGATAAAATGTTAAAAGGACATTTTCAATACTTACCAGTCCTTCTGCACCAAAAACTTTAATCTGTTTAAATTCTACAGAATTTCCTCCTTAATTTGATACCCATACTTCTTCTCTAAGCACATTTCCCTGAATTTTTTAAATCATTTTTGGATTACTGACGTGAGAGTGAAAAACTAAAAAAGCAATTTTACCATATTTGGCGTATGGTTTCGCGAATATATTGATTTTCGAGTGTAAAATTTACTATCGCACGGTGTGATGTGTATAATGAACTAGACATTTATAAAAAATATTAATTATTACATAAAAAAAAAATATAGCCAATACTGGTCAAGAAAATGAAGTTTCTATTATTGCCATAAGTGCAAATTACAAATCCTGAAAATCCCGGGATCATTTGCCAAGAATCCCGAGATGTTTGGGACGTAAAAAGGCCGGGATCCCTAGTCTATGCCCTCATACGAGGCACGTTGCCAGATTCTACTTTTAAAATCTTTACATAATCGAAGTGCTTAACTTTCCGGGAATTTTCTCGTGAATGTTGCAATTGATTGCCCTTCTCTCTTAAAAAGATTCGGCCCTATTATGGTTGTCGTTGTCGATGTAATTTTTCGCTGACCACAGTATTTGTGCGAGGAACACGTTTCCTCAAAATGTTGTGGTCAGCGTAGCAGGAGTTTGACTTACGAGGGCTATTTTTTGATGAAAAAATTACATCGATGTCGACGTCGACAACCGTAGTAGGGCCGATTGTCTTTCAATGTCCCTTTACACAACCTTCGACGCGCTCCACTATTCTATGTAGGTTTTTCGAAATCTAAGTACGTTAAAAATGGTCCTTTATCAAGAACACAACCGGAATTAACACCTCTATTCTGCAACTTTCGTATAAGGATTTTGCTACGAATCGTAGAAATAGTATGCTGCAAGCCGAATCGTATTTTCGAACGTTCGAAATTCATAACAATGACATGCCTAAAAACGAACGAGTAAGAAATTTACAGTTTTTTGCGTAATTTTGTACGGAAACAATTCTGTGTCGGAAGAGAAATAAAAGATGTAAATCGATGTATGTTTGGAGGAAATATTAGTGGTGTTCTTTTAAACCGATAAATTTGCCTTTCGCGTATACGTATATTTTTATCCACTGCTTTGTATGAACGGACAAAAAAAAAGTTTGTTGCCCCTTATCGAGAAACTTGGGTCCGGTTTAGTTATTTGTACAATGATTTTCGGTTGTTGTGTCCAAACGCATAACCCGAATTTAAAAACAAATGCTTTCAATTTCCGAGCACTAATTCATTAATAAATTCGGCTTGCACGATGCACTTTTTGCAAGTTTCGATGTAGTTTCTGCGCAAAAATACTATGGATGGCGTAGCCGGAGTTGTTATATGCACTAGAAATGTTGCATATCTTTGACAAGCGGAAACCCCTCTTCTCCGGCAACACAGAAAGGAGATTCTACTTAGTAACGGTTATAATCCTATAGCACGGCCGAAGGCAGAAGCAATCGCAACAGGTGGTGGACCTTACAAAGTGAATGTTTTGAATGACTTGGAAGAAGTTGTTATTGCATTAACTGGATTGAGAACCAGTTCTTCAGGCATAGGAGGAGTAATGGCTTGTGGTTCAACAATTCAACCAGAAGATGACATAGACGCGAATTCATTTCAATAGAAGCCATCGTTTCCTTCAAAATATGTAAAGTCAAATAATTTTTCTACAAATAGGCACTTGAGTGCTTTCCAATTCCTTTCCGCTTTGTTTTCCTTGATTAACCTCTCTTCGAAAAACAACTGATAGCTGGCAATGCTGCACATGTTTCCACAAGGGTTGCAGCATGTGAATTTTTCGGTTTTCGAGTTCTAGAATAAGGTTTTCGAGCTGGACCTGGTGCTTCCAATATGAACAATCCGTAATTTACTTTACAATTACTTCAACTAGTATTTAAGCTGTTTTCCTGTTGTCAGTAAGAATTGTTATTCATTTGACTGAATTTAATTAAATAAAAGTAGTAGTTGCCAGATCGTAGTGCACTGTACAGCGGCAAGAGCACTACTTTAATCCGAAAAAGAAGAAAAAATGAAACAATGTATTAAAAAAGTTAAAATAAGACTAAGCGTGAGGTTTTGACTGATTTTTTTTTTTTTGTTTGTAATCTTTAAATTATATGGTTTTGGTAAAAATGCGATTAATCTAACACTCTAGCTATTACCAATTCTATATGGCTTGGTTTATCCATACTAAAAGTACGAAGGTAACAGCATTTAAAATGCAGCACAATTTTATGTTGCTGTTTTACGTGCAATGCCTTAGTATTTACGACAATCTTTTCTCTCGCGTTTTTTTTTTTTTGAATACCAAATTATTATTCTCGTCAGTTATATTTTCCTTTCATTTACCCAAACCTGATGGCCGATTGAATGCAAATGCTGGTTTCGAAATAAATTAAGCGTATATTGCTCGGTTGCTCTATAGTAGTTACGATGCCATATATTTATATATGTACATATCGTCGTTTAAAGTACAAAACCGCGTATCGTCATTCTGCAAAACCGCGTAACTGACATTGGCTGCCAAAAATTGGATTTGCTCACACAAGCTCTTGGCTCAGTCCTTATCCATTCGTACTGAAATATACTAGCCAGAAATGCGATTGCTTATAAAAAAGGACCATTTTGAAATATGAGTGTTTTTACGCTCTAGAAAATAATTTCTACAACCTCACATACGCGGTTTTGCACTTTAAACGACGATATGTACATATTTACGTTCGAATATCTAGTATGTTATATCAAAATATAGAATATCTCAAAGAGCCTAACGATTGAATACATACCAGTGTTGCGTTTGGAAAATAGATAAACGTAGATAATAAAGCATAGAAATTGTACCTATAAAGCATTCAAAATGTACCAGAATTAAGGATTTTATTCTTTATGCATTTTTATACCCGAGCACACTTGTGCACAAGGATATTATAGCATTGTTCACATAGCGGTTGTTTGTAACAGCCAAAACGAATCGAGATAGATGTAGACAAATGTATACATAAATGATCTGAATAAAAAGAGAAAACGAGCGGTGACTGTCTGTCCGTCCATCCGTCCGTCCGCCTGTGCACACGATAACTCGAGTAAAAATTGAGATATCTTACCGCAATTATTTAGGCGGTAGCACGGATGGTATTGGAAATGAACAAAATCTGACAAAAACCACGTCTACCTCCCATATAACGGTTTTTTCAGAAATATGAAAACTGACAAATTTTGGTAACAACTGAAGCTTATCCACCCAAAATTTATATTTACAATAATTTTAGAATGATTTTTAGTATTATACATTTTTGGAAAATGGGCGTAGTCACGCCTACTTATATGATTACATGTGTATATCTTGGTAGCCGCTTCACCAATTTCTCCCAAACTGGAAACTTAGCGTGCAACACGATCATGGGCACAACTTTCCCTGTGCTTTATAGATTGTACAAAGATAACCGATTAAGGGCCGTTTTCTAATGTAAGCAGTAAAGTTGCCTTTACTAACAGGGCAGATAAATTGTTCCTCACTTTAAAGTGTTTTCGTTCTCTTACCTTGCCGGTAAAAATAAATTTGTTATTCCGTATAGTGAAACTTCACTACATTTCCGAGAGTGAAACTTCACTACATTCGTCATAAAATTTCAAAGGTTGGCAACGCAACATAAACCAATATAGAGCAGGAGCAACTGTTAGCAAAAACCAAAACCTTGGTTGAAATATCTAATATATCTGACTCATGCACCAAAACCAAACCAAAATTTAAAGTTGGTTACAAATTTTAAAGGTTGCATCGGGTGAGCAACAGTTTATCGATTCGAGAAATTAATGCGCTGATGAGAAAACGAAAACTCGTATATCGAGACGATAAAGTGGCCGGTAAACTAAAGGTTAGATGAGAAAACGGCGAAGGTTTTCATTATATTTTATAAGGGACATTTTTATTTTTCAAGTTCCGCGTTTAAAAATTTACCTCTGAAAAATGCAGAGCCGATTTAAAGGACAGTTTAAGAAATAAAGGACAAAAGGCGTCCCTTATTTTGAAGAAAATTATACAGTGAAGTGGGTTAAAATAAAGGACTGCCCTTTAAAATAAAGGACGGATGGTCACCGTAGGTATGATCGAAGCGTGAGATACCAGTAAGGGTACTATCGGGAACGCCAGTACGAGTGCCAATGGATGTACCATTTAGGGTATAATTGAAACGTGGGAATAACTTGCGAACAAGTGCTGCTTTTTTGTCGGAGTAGGAAAATGAAAAGTTAAGTCCTCTCTCGTCGTATAAAAATCACCACTCTATAAGTCACTTATGTTAAATATTTTGAATATATATTTAACCTGAACTGCAGGTGAATGGGGCGCAGAAGCATAGAGAATGAAAACATCTGATGAGGTCGTTCTTGAATTGTTCGAGTGAAAGATTCTGAGGAAGATTTACGGGCTTTTGCGCGTTGGCCATAGCGAATACTGAAGGCGGTGCAATGATGAGCTGTATGAGCTTTACAAGGATATAGACATGATCTTCTTCTTTTTGATTGGCGCTGTAACACCCTAAGTGATTTGAGGAATCTATCTCCCGTGATATCGAAGTTTCGTATGATTGTGCTAGTAGAAAATTTTCAATACATATTTTCCATTCGAAAGCGACGGATTTCTCCCAAAACAGCTAATTAATTGTTTGAAAACAAGAATATAATTTACTATCTTCTTAATTTTTTCAGATTATAGTTACAACATAAGAATTCCGAAATTTGCGGTAATGTACAACTCATTAAAATTTCGTTTGCCATACAACATACTGCAACAATGCTTCATCAAAATATCTCGAATCACGTGCGTCCACTTTTAATGCTTCTTGTCGGTCTTGTAAGTGGTTTTTGTTTCTCGCAACTTTTACGCAGTACAGATTGCGCTATTAGACTGAGTTTCCCTAGCGGCAATTTCCTGGGTCGAAACGAAGAATATGATGATCCAGCAGCACTATATACAGCCGAAGAAAATTTGCAAACACGAGTTTCCAATGATGACAACTCGCTCGCTGAACAGCTCTTCAATGCGACGCGAGTTCTATGCTGGGTGCTTACCAGTCCAGCTAATCACGCAAAGAAGGCGGTTTATGTGAAGAAAACGTGGGGTAAACGTTGCAATCGGTTACTTTTTATGAGTTCGGAGACCGACGAAAAGCTGGGAAGTATAAAACTGGTTGTTAAGGAAGGGCGTGGCAATTTGTGGAACAAAACAAGGGAGGCGATGAAATACATTTACGACAATCACTTTGACGAGGCTGATTGGTTTCTGAAGGCAGACGATGATACGTGAGCAAATTGTAGTTATTGTTGGCCTAATTAAAGGGTTATTAAAATTTTGGTTATCATACTGTACATGCATACAGTTACGTCATAATGGAGAATTTGCGTGCCTTTTTACACCCAATGGACAGCAAGACACCGGTCTATTTTGGCTGCAAGTTTAAGAAGTATGTTACACAAGTAAGTTCAGCGAAAAAAGGTCTAACAAGTACACTATGTTTTAGCGAAAACATTTCTTTCCCAAACAGGGTTACATGTCTGGTGGCGCGGGTTACGTATTGAGTAAAGAGGCCATGCGGCGTTTCGTCCAAGTTGCATATCCAAATAAGAAACTTTGTCGTAATCGTAGTGGCGGTGCTGAAGATAAGGAAATGGGCGCTTGCTTGCAGAATGTGGGTGTGATAGCCGGTGATTCGCGAGATGAACACAAACGTGGACGTTTCTTTCCACTCGGCCCGCAGGGGCATCTCATACCGAATGACAAATCGCATTGGTACTGGCGTTACATCTTTTACAAAACCGACGATGTGAGTAACAAACGAAATAATTTATGTTCGTTTACATATCGATGGTCCTCTACAATAACGACACAATTCAATATTCAAAAAATAAAAACTGTTACTATTGTTAAGTGGCTCTTGTCTCTAATCCTTGTCTAATCTATTTCCATCCATTACTAAAGTAAGCAGTAAGGATTGCTAAAGATTCGACAAGGATTCGTTAAGGATAAGAGACATAAGCCACTTAACAGTAGTAAGGGTTTTTATTTTTTGCATTTTGAATTGTGTCGTTATTGCATAGGACCATCGATATGTACAGGTAATGATTTACCATACATACATATGTATACTTGTATATATTAATTCATAGGGTCTTGACTGTTGTTCGGATTACGCAATATCATTTCATTATGTTCAACCTCACTATATGCTTGTACTGGATTACCTGATATACAATTTGCGTCCGTTCGGGGTTTTTAGACATACCGAAGCACTGCCAGCGAAATGCAATATGACCGAGTTATTGGAAAAGTGGCGGAACGAGAAATCTGATAATCCTTTATAAATTTTTTGAAGGGAAATATGGTAGACATAAGTATCGCAGTATTGAATTGATACATAAAATAAATGTGTGTATATGAGAGTGAAAAATGTTCACATGTAGACTTATGTAAGCTTATGCATATATGTACACACATACGTATGTTATAATAAACTTTAAAAGTGCATAATGTGGGTGCTAAATTGCTAAATAAAAGTGATAAATTGTGATTAGAAGTTTAAGGTACAATAACTGAATAAGAATAGGTGCGCCAAATCGATAACTTTTTGTGCCAAGTGTCTTAAAACTTGGAAACTGAAACTATTTAAGCCTATTCTCTGTATATGTATGTAATAAGTTTTTATGTTCATAGCAATATTTATAAAAAAATAACTTATACTACTTTTAAATAAAACTATTGTGTATTGGATAAGATTTAAGTAAGATTTACTTATGCACTTAACTATTTAGAAAATGCCTGACTAAATGTCAGAACATACAATTATTGTATATAGAATTGTATTTACAAAGCCACGTGAAAATAATATTGTTCATATGCATTTGTTAGCTAACATCAAATCGTACATATATATGTACTATGTACATGTGTATGTAGATGCAGATAAATTAGTTCGTTTAAACATTTCGCGACCTACACCTGCATTACTCTATTTCTAGAACAAATTACGTAACTTAAAAATCATTCCAAAATTTTTACAAGTTATGCTGCCCATTGTAAGTAATTTTTTTATTCATCAAAACATGTTAGGAAATTTGCTACTGAACTAATAATGGAACCAAAGTCAAAAAATATACACACATACATAAATAAAATGAAAAATACCTTAGATTTTTTGGTTTTTCATAAACCGTGATAATTTGAGCGTGAAAACTCGTGGTTCCGATTACTCTTTCCAATAGTGTCGAAATATATATGTTTTTTTTTAACAAACCCTATGAGAACGGTTGATAAAGTCGTTTTTCAACATGATGCAATTATGAAGTGTTGTACGTTGGCAACTTCTCACTCTGATTCGGCAAAGAAAAAATACATATGCGGAAAAGTTGGCATTACTGAATTATCTTTTACATTTTAGTTTGATCATCATTCGGTGGGGAATTGAAACTAAAACCAGGAATATGGAAAGTTTTGTTATAAAATCAACGTTTTTAATAGTCTCATTGGACAATTTTGTATATTAATTCCAAGAGCCAGCTTCGTTTATACATAAATCGAAATGTTAGTATTAATGAAATAAATAAAAAATTGGGTCGAGTAGCCTTTTTTTCGCTGGCACTGCGTCTTTGATATAAATGCATATCTCACGTCTAATAATACATATAGAGAAGTAATTCAAAATTTAAATTCAAGGAGAATATCTCAGCCTAACGGATGACTAAGCTTCCCAAAAATAGCGAAGATATGCGTCTTTCCATCTCTCTTTTTGTATAACAACTGTATGAATTGATGAAACTTTGATTGCGTTTTCCCGCAAAAATGAAATTTTGGAATAATTCTGTATATTAAGGTGCCCGAAAACGATTAGAGTAAATACCTTGGGAATAGGAATTCACTCTCATTCTCACCGTCTAACAAGTAATGAGAGTGGGTATTCGTTCTTATCGTAGAGTTCTCATAAGTTCTTAGCACTGGAATATTCTTACCCGTGTAACAAGTGTGTTTGAGAGTTTTCTTGCACTCTCACTCATATTCTCAGCTCTCATATGCTACGCGTTGAGAATTTTTATTCTCAGCCGTACACAGTGTAGGCAATCAGGGCTGCCCTATTTTACATAAAATGGCACTTAATTTTTCAATTTGGCACTTAGTGCCAAAATGCAACTTTTCAAAATAGTAACATTTCAATACATTTTTTGTGAAATCCTTTGCACGTACTTCTTTTTCTCAACTAAAATTTTCTAATTTTCAAAGATTATTCAACTGGTTTATCTTATTTTGGCATTGCACTTTTGTTTTAGAAATGTGGCTCTTATTTTATTGCTAAATGGGAAGGATTAAAAAGGATGGCACCATTTTTGGCACTTTTATTTTTCTATTTGGAAGATTTTGACACTTTTTTTATCCTCAATATGGCACCTCATAGCTTAGGATAGTTGGCAGCCCTGAGTGTAAGATGCCTAATAACGCAAAAGTGATAGAATACAAGATTGCGCAAACCAAGCTGTGAGCAACCGGTTGTGACGTCATAAAAGTGAGGGAATTAATAAAAATGAGGGAATGAGGGAGTAATGATAAACTCTAAAGAATAAGAGGAAACGCGAACATGTGATGCGAAATAATGATTTAAATCAGGCATGGGCAGAGAACGAGCACACGCTCAAAGAGCGTAATCATCGGGGCACCGAAATTGCGCATATGGAAACTGTGCATTTAGACATTATTTCGGTTTCAACCGAAACTGTGCATGTATGCTTTATTTCGGTTTTTACCATATGCATTATTTCGGTTTTAAACCGAAACTGTGCATGCATGCATTATTTCGGTTTTTGTTATATGCATTATTTCGGTTTTCAACCGAAACTGTGCATGTATGCATACCTTCGTCTTTCACATATGCATTATTTCGGTTTTCATCCGAAACTGTGCATGTATGCTTTATTTCGGTTTTTGCCATATGCATTATTTCGGTTTTCAACCGAAACTGTGCATGCATGCATTATTTCGGTTTTTGTTATATGCATTATTTCGGTTTTCAACCGAAACTGTGCATGTATGCATACCTTCGTCTTTCACATATGCATTATTTCGGTTTTCATCCGAAACTGTGCATGTATGCTTTATTTCGGTTTTTGCCATATGCATTATTTCGGTTTTGAACTGAAATTGTGCATGCATGCATTATTTCGGTTTTTGTTGCTGTGCATGTATACATTACTTCGTTTTTTTTCATATGCATTATTTCGCTTTTAAAACGAAAGTATGCATATGCATAATTTCGGTATTTTCTCATATGCATTATTTCGGGTTT